TCTTAGGTAGTTCATCCTATACATGATGAAACTTTTTACTTGACTGCTGAGCATAAAAGGAGACTAAAGGAAGAATACGGTTAGTTTTTTTACTCCAACTGTTTCCCGATCAATGTTTCCAAATTTCTTTGATTAGTATCTTTTAGACTTTTACTATCGGCTTGCAGGGACACCTATGTGCACTGGGCTGCCCCTTAGTATCTTTTACCATCATTTGATAAACTTTATTCGACAGGGATTGAACCATGGACCTTCGTTCAAAAATTAGGAGATGCTGTTCTCATACCAGCTGGCTGCCCACATCAAGTTAGAAATTTAAAGGTATATTAGCTTATTCTTCTACTCCACTCGGAGTACTTGGTGCTTCGTACTTCCATATTTATAGGCGTGGTTTGTTGCATATATTTAGGCTAATACCTGGAGGCAGAAGATGATAGAGAAAAGAAAAAACTAAAGAAACTCAAATGGAAGGAAACCCCAAAAAACTATATTTGGTTTGACATTGAAACATCCGGGAAAAACTCACAGTTGACTAAAGCTTTTGAATTTTTGGTATATATCTAGATTTTCTAGTCTATGTATGATATACTAAATAAAATGTTTTTGAACAAATATCTAGAATTGATTTATTGAGTTTGAACTCTGAACCATTTTTTATGTGTCTGGTTGTCCCCAATGTTGTTTCCTTCTAAAATTCCTACCAAAATAATTTTAATTTCCTATCATTTTCTGGGTTCCAAATGGACCCTTAAAAAATGCTACAATCTCTTTAAAGAAAGTGGGTTTGTTCTCCAGCATGCGCTGTAATTGTTGACTTATTTTCCAAGGTAATATTTGCAATTGTTCTACTTTTCCATTGTGTTCTAGCCACCACTTAAATTTCTAATGATTGCATTCTTGTTAAATTTTTTTATGTCCACTTCTGTAAACCTTTGCATAAAATGGTCATTTTTTGGACTGTCATTGGAGTATCAGGTCAAAAAGAATATGCTACTTTGGATGAGTCATGATGTTTTCTTTTGCACTGTTTTTAGTCCCAAACCAGACCAGACTTTCGTAGTTATAAAATACACAGAGACCAGACATTACCAAATCAGTTCAGACCAGGCCAACAAATTTCACTCCAAAAGAAAATATCCTCATTCCTCCTAGTAGCAATTTAATGTCCATTTCTTAGCATACTAAGGTAAAAAAAAAACTATTCAGTTACTTTCCAAAAGGGGATTATGTAATACTTCCTCCGTCCCGAAAAGGTTGGTCAAAGTTGACTTTCATGTAGATTAATAAAGTAAAAACCGTGTGGTTGAAATTTGTGCAGAGAAGAGAGAATTAACTTGAGCCACATATTCCTTATTTTTAATGGCAAATCTTTTTGGGGCATCAAAAAAAGGAAATTTGGCCAACCTTTTCGGGACGGAGGGAGTACAAATTAAGAGGACTGTTAAGTACAGAAATACATGAGGCTTCGGTAGATCCATAGAATTTAATAAGCATTATATGTGAATGTCATGCTAGACTAAATAACAAATTGTGCTGGGTGTGCTTAGTATTCTAATTTTCAATGTGACAATATATTAATTATACTACGCATTTGTTTATGATTTTAACTGTGATGCCTGGTATGATGATTGCTGATATATTCAATCAGTTATGATAGTTTCCTTCCCATTAATGACCACCTCTATTTGTTTTTACTTGGCAGTCATGCATTAAAGTTGCTGCTGACTTTGTTTCTCCTGAAAGTATTCCTGAATGCATTAGATTGACCGAGGAATTCCGTACTCTTCCCAAGAATCATAGGGCCAAGGAAGATAAACTGGAGGTGCGATTCCTTTTTTGAATACCTGAACTTTTACTTTCCTATGAATTGTAAATATGTAGGATTAGCATAACCTTAGAGATCAAAAGCATAATCTCTTAGGGTATGACAATTTAATCTTATGAAATTTACATAAATGTTTATTTTCCACACTCTATATACCGACTTTATGTCTAAGATATCATAATTCTATTTCTATGATAGTATTCTGTTTGTTTACCATCTAAGTCTAGACGTGCCCTCCACCCCCTTCATTTTTGTTTCATTTACATTGATCCTATGTTAGATCTTTTGGTATTTGGATGCAATTGTTTTTTTAATCTCGCAAACTGTATACTCAATACTTTTTTCACTCAAATGCATTAATATGACTGAATTTTACATTTCCTGCTGCTGCTACTGTTGTCATTCTTCTTACATATTATTATTATTATTATTATTATTATTATTATTATTATTATTATTATTATTATTATTACTATTATTGCTTTATGATACAAGCATTATTGAAAAATTTATGTTGTGCATGCCCCTTTCCGACAGGTAAAAAAAATGATCATTTATGCAGTGAAAGAAGCTTTGGATGATCTTAAGGGATGTATTTTATAGGTACGCCAAAAGCCCGTTTAAAACAAGAAAATGCAGTGCTAGGTTGCTTATTGACTAATTGTTCTATTTGTGTGTATTAGACTATTACGACACCTACTTTATGTTGAGAAACCTACCGAGTCTTTAGTTATAGCGTATTATGATACTTGAGAATAAAATAGTATATTCCATATTGATATTGTGTGTATAAGTTCTTTTCCAAAATACCAAAAAAGTGATTGTTGAATTGCAAACTTTGCATTGTAGGAAACTAATGGGAAAAAGTGATGTCCAATGAATCTATAAGATGGAAGATGTTTTGTTATATAATAATTTATCTAAGTAATCTAACACTTCATCTAATTTTAACACTTTTGCAACTATTTGCATGACCTTTTTTCGTATTTTTTATGTTGTAGAAAAAAAGTTTTAAACAAAATTTTCAAGTTTTCATGCATCGTATTTTAACATTCCGTGTAATGGTTTCCAAGATTTATACCTCCCATCGGACTGGTTTAACACTTAATGGCAGGTTTTTGTTCATTTTCATAATTCTACATACGTTCAGGGACGGATCCAGGATTCTGAGTCAAGGGGGGCGAAATTTTTCGTTAGTGTAGGGGGTGAATTTTTTTTGTTAGTGTAGCGGGGTGAAATTTTTTCCCCTAGTATAGCGGGGCGAAATTTTTTCGCTACTGTAGGGCTATGCGGCTATTTTTATTCAAAAAATGACATTAATACATGCACATCCCGAACGACATTTAAATCTATTACATTCTAAGTTTAGACGATGACAAAGACATCAACCAATACATTTTCAATAACTTTTACATTGTTTAACCTCATGAATCGGTTATTGAATTGTAATTTTTGTCAACCAAGGAGAGTGTTCGTGAGTCATGACTCATGACAAATTTTCTTAATATTACAATAGTAGTATACTAGTATGTATGAGATTGTTATTTTTAGAATAATATGCACCACACACACACACACATGGTGCATATTATATTTTAATATTTTTATTAATTCTATAATAATTTAAAGTTTATTATCCATGCAATAATTTTTTTTTAGAAAGCAAGAAGTAAATGAATTATGTAATCTAATGTCTATAAATATTTATATTTTGGATTCATTTCACGTGATCTAAAAATGGTGTAATTAGTGTGTCTGGTATTTAATATTGTTTGATATATGTTTTACGAAATCCAGTACTTGTTATCTAATAAAGATAATTAAACATTACAAAACTAGGAATTCTTATATAATAAGTATCCTAAATCATAAATAACGAGTTACTCTATTGTTTATTTGTTTAAGTTATGTAAATTATTTTAGATGTTTCTTCTTTTAAATCTCCAATTAAGTATTACATTATGTAAGACTATATATGTTAATTTTGAAAATTAAAAGCTAAGGGGGGCGAATCTAATTAAATTATGAAAGTTTTATGAAAATATTACATATATGGTAAAAAAAATTGAATGTCCAAGGGGGGCGGTCGCCCCCCCGCGCCCCCCCCCTAAATCCATCCCTGCATACGTTGTCCTGTGTTTTACATACTATATCTACACACCCAGTCACCCATGCTTCCTAGGAAACGTTTGGATTGATGTTTTTATTTGTAGGGTTGTAAGCAATAGATGATGTAGACAAGGAAGCAGCAGCAAAGCCTTTTCTGTCTGGAGATGGCTTTCTTTGTTGGTCAGCTGCTAATCATTTTCTATCATGATGCTGGAGTGTCCTATAGAGAAAGCCCGCAAATATTACTTAGCAATCATGCTATTATTCTAAAGTACTCCGTAATTACTTTCCTTTGACAATCATTTAGTATTTAAATTCAAACTAATGATTATCTTTTTCAAGGTACAGAACATGCTACGGTCATAAAACATAAAGGATTCCTTCCATACTTGATTAATTAAAGTCAAGCTATGCATGTAATCCAATTCAAATGATGCTACGTGTATCTTACTATGTGCAAAGATCCCACTCAAACAATTCAATCATGGATGGCAATTTAATTGGTATGGTAAGAAATATTTATTTCAAAAAGCAAATGCCACATACGTCATACGGTCATCTTCCATAAAGCAAGATATTTAATTCATTAATGCTATGGTCAATCAATTCATGAGTCATGCAATCCTTAATTTTGCAAGCCAAAATTACTTTCCATAAAGTAAAAAGCACAATTACTTTTTATGAAGTTAAAAGCACAATTACGTATATATTTATTTGGTCATGCAAAAAGGCACTCATATTACTTTCCATAAAGTAATAAGCTATAATTTCCATAAAGTAATATACCACTCAAATAAGCACTCATATAAGCAAAATACGTATATATTATTTGGTCATAAAGATATTTTTACTTAAAATAATATTCTTGACAAAGTATAAGCATTCATATAAGGAAGACACATTAATTGAAAATCAAATAGGTGTAATCAATATTAATTCAAACCATATCACAGAACTAGAAATGGTTCAGTATTAGTTCCACCTGCATAGTTAGTCAACAACACAATAATAATGTTCATTTGGACCTGATGATAGTTCTGCCCTTTGTTTCTTAAGGAACTGTGAGCGGTTCTGTCCGCCGTTCCACCTGCATGGTTAGTCATCAACAAAACCACATATTCAACAGGTTATGTTACGGGTTTCCGTACCCATTTTTGCCGAAACGGAAAAGTAAGATTACATTCACTTTTATTTTTATTAATTAATATTTTTCCAATTACTTTAGATAGAGCAATATGATTCGCTTATGATTCGCTGGAGAAACAATCACTCTAGATAGAGCAATATGATTCGCTTATCCTATAGTGGGTCTAAATGAGCCTAACGTGGCCAGAACAATACCTTCATCACCCCCACCTAATGTAAGAGTCTGACAAAAATAAACGTACCTAACAACCAAAACAACATGAATATCGAAGTAAAAACACAAACAAACTAAAAACAAAAATAGAAATAGACTTCCAAATCCTAGACGCACAATTCCTCCATGGAGGCGGTTCAAGAGGGGGACGAGTCAACATCTCTTCATCTTCTTTCGCCCAAAAGAGATCACCACTGCCCGCCCTCAATTCTTCCAATCCAAGATCTTCCACCTTGAAAGAAAAATCTTGCAAAGGAGGCCCCGATGGCGGTTCGGGAGGGGGGCGGATCGTCGGACTGCCTTCCGCCTCGACCAGCCATTCAAAGTTTCTGGTTTGCTCCTTGCCCTTGTCGTCTCCACCAAGATCAATAACAATCCCCTCCTCTTCCTCAATGATCCACCCTTGACATGTCTGCACCAAAATCCCAATTGAAGCCTCTTTCTCCATATGCCCGCTGCCTACGCCTGCAGAAGCTGTTGACCTGTGCTTGGAAACCTCCCGTCACCAAAGTCTCCCGCAGCTTGCCGAACGGAAAATAAAGGCCTAAAGCACGAGCCTGGAGCCGTGCCTGGAGCCGTGCCTGGAGCCGTGCCTGGAGCCGTGCCTGGAGCCGTGCCCGGAGCCGTGCCCGGAGCCGTGCCCGGAGCCGTGCCCGGAGCCGTGCCCGGAGCCGTGCCCGGAGCCGTGCCCGGAGCCGTGCCCGGAGCCGTGCCCGGAGCCGTGCCCGGAGCCGTGCCCGGAGCCGTGCGTCCGGCCGTGACCCGTGCGTCAGGCCGTGCGTCAGGCCGTGCGTCAGGCCGTGTCCGGAGCCGTGCGTCAGGCCGTGTCCGGAGCCGTGCGTCAGGCCGTGTCTGGAGCCGTGCGTCAGGCGGTGTCCGGAGCCGTGCGTCAGACCGTTCGTCAGGCGGTGTCCAGAGCCGTGCGTCAGGCCGTTCGTCAGGCGATGTCCGGAGCCGTGCGTCAGGCCGTGCGTCAGGCGGTACGTCGGGCCGTGCGTCAGGCCGTGCCCGGAGCCGTGCGTCAGGCCGTGCCCGGAGCCGTGCGTCAGGCCGTGCCCGGAGCCGTGCGTCAGGCCGTGCCCGGAGCCGTGCGTCAGGCCGTGTCCAGAGCCGTGCGTCTGCCCATCCCCAAACCCGTGCGTCAGGCCGTGCGTCAGGCCGTGCCCAAACCCGTTCGTCAGGCTGCGGTCAGGCCGTGCCCAAACCCATGCGTCAGGTCATGCGTCAGGCCGTGCCCAAACTCGTGCGTCAGGCCGTGTTCTTAAAATAACACTTAATTTTTATATCGCATTTGTGAACATAAGGAAAAGGTGCTTCACTAACGGCTTTATTTTTCTCTTGTCAGTGACCGGTAAAATTGGCCTTTCTAGCCACTCTTTTCGTCAACCAATAGCATTTAGCAAAAAAAAAAAAAAAAAAAAAGGATGACACCCCATCCCTGAGGGCCCCCCAACACCGACCGGACGGCACGATGGGAGGATGTAAATTGGACTATAATCACAATCTGACAGATAGAGAGTGGGGCTCTGTCCCCGGTACTTACAGAGGCCCTATGCATTTTTCAGCATAGTAACCCCTCATCGTAGTTGCCGGGATTCGAACCCGAGACCTAACCCTTGTGGCACTCCCTCGCTACCAGTTGAGCTACGCCCACCGGTAACCAATAGCATTTAGCAATCCTATGGCTCATCACTTGATATTGAGGGACCCAGAAATGGCGCTTTAAAGGGGGCTGGGGTTTAAAAATTTTATCTTGAGGAAAAACGTTTTGAAATTCTAAAATATGAGTATCGTGTTATTTATTTCCGGAATAGGAGTAAATTTCTGCCAAATTTGGCATTACAAGACTTTTAACATGACATTTTTTCCAAACTTGGCAGATTACTCTTATTTGTTAGGAAATTGATGTAACGTACCTCGAAAGTACAACAACGGAAGTTTAAAATTTTCCCAAACAGATCTTCCCTAATTATGACAAAACAACGAATATAACATTAATATTATAGATCTGAGTTGGAACTTACAGATCTTTCAGCCTAGTGGTGATAATTCTTGACCTTAAGTATTCACGTGATTTTCCTTTCTGAAAGAACGGTTACATCTCTCATAGAGAAAGGCTAGGAAATCTCTTCGCATGGAAATATACTACTAATACGGAATCTTAGAAAACTCGTCCTTAAGTATGAAGGAAGAGGATGTATTTATAATAGTTCTAAACTAGTTTCCCAATCACAATAATCACAATGAAAGTCTTTCTCATTAATGAGTTCCAGTCCTAATAGGACCAATACTAATTATTGATTATCAATTAAATAAATTTCACAAATTGGAATTCGTAATCAAGAGGAGAGGTACGGCCACCTCCCTCTTAGATTAACTAATCCACAACTTTGTTTTCTTTTATTTAATTACAACTTTATTCATAATTAAATAAAGTAAATAAAACAATAACAAGAGAGAAGTTAGCTAGGGATGGCTTGTCACGCCACCCTACTTCTTCTCTACTTATTATTATTTAATTTTTACTTTTTTTAATTCTAAATTACAAAAGAAAATATCAACTTTATTTAATTAAAAATACATCTTAATTAAGTATAATAAATCAAATCTATTTTACTTAACTATTTCTATCAAATAAAAATCTCCTTCAACTTCATGAATCAAATATGTTTAATCTAATTAATATTTAATCTAATTCTAGTATTACGAATTAAATATTATGTAATCCAATTAATGATATTTAATTCTTTCTAACAATTCAATCGGAAGGTATAATCACTTATTGTCTAGTTAATAAAACTCCGGTAAACGTCCCCCGGCGTTTGCCCCACCTATGGGTGGTTTGCCTTCCGGGGTAAAAAAAAAGGTATAATTACTTATTGTGTGACCCATAGGACCGTATATATTAAGCACTAATCAAATTAAGGCCTTAACAGAATCTCTAGACGATTTACCAGACAAACTTAATATATAAGGACGTTTGTGAGGACTATTCAAACTCCTTGTAATATAGAGCTCATAGTGATACGATCCTTTCATTCAACGAACATTCAATTAGGTCTAGAACTTGATATTGTGTCTATTATAATAACTTAGTATTTGTCTCTCAATCTTTCTAGATGATCCATAATGATCATATTCGATATCCAAAATGAATATATCTTTGCATTGGCCAATGACTTTATGATCCATCTAGATATGAGAAGTAAAATGTTCTCTCTTAATCTATTACGAGGAATGAATCCTTTTTTTGGCTCAACTACTACTACATGTGCTTCGTGATGCACCAAACACATGCCGTAACTACCCCGATTGGAGTGCAAGCGTTGGTCATGGTCAAAGTACATCACTCCGCACATGTAGACATGTAGTACGTATTGACCTCAAGTCAATACGCCGATAATCCCATAGACACATGAATAGAACTTATCAAATGGTTTTTCGGTGGGTATGCTAATATTCTCTAAAATATCTATGTGACCATCATGAAGTACATGAACTCATAGTTGTGAGATCAACTATACTTTCTAAAAGTATGATGGAGTCCACATACCAATCTTATCGCATATCATCAATATCTCATTCTTGATGATCATTGATTGGGGCTATTTTAGGATCTTATGCTATATCATATAAGCTCACACTTACTTATTGACAACATAAGTCCAAAGAAACACAATTATGAATAAGATATTGACAATTGAAATACTTAATCATCAATGTGTAATACCGTATATATCAAATACATGAAACTAAATGTGATCGAGTACATATATCTCTAAATACATGAAACACTATTCGGGAAATAAAAAACATGATACCCTTATTTTAGAATTTCGCTATTTAGGGCAATTTCTGCAATTTGTTTTTCCTTAGAAGAACGAGGCCCTCTTCGCCCGTTTATAGCTAGCCTTGTGTGAATTATTTAGGCAGAATAATCTATGTTTCCATTAATCAATTAAAGGGGTATAAATACAAGTCAGGTTATACTTTCAAAATTGTTATGGTTCTTATTATGGTGACAACTCCGGTACTTTTTAAAAAATTGGATACCGTACCTATCAATCATTTGATTGGACCACATCACTTTATCTTTTTTAATTTAGATTTAAATAATTCAATTGCAACATTCTCATTGGTTCATGTGGACAAATGTATGATCCCTTATGGGTACCATAGAATCTACCTCTTATATTTGTACGAGTGTGAGTGTTAGTTAAGTTTGTTCGATCTGCAAAAACAAATTTGGTAGAAGTGTAAAATGTGATACATAATACTTGGTACAAGTATATACTTCTGCACTATGGGTGGGAGAACAAATATACCCTTATTCTATTTTTGGAACAAATATACCCCCGAAGTATATGTTGAAGTGCATATATACCCCTTAACTTTTAAAAAGTGCAAAAATACCCCTCATGTTCTTATAAAGACGCAAAATACCCCTGAACTATTTTTTTCAAATAGATAAAATGAATTTCAAAGAACACCAAAAATAAAATATAAATTCAAAATTTAAAAATAAAGATTTATTATTATGTTAAAATATTAATTCTTTAATTTTAAATTTCAAATTTTTTTTTTCCGTTGTAAATGAAGCACTTCAAATTCATTAATACTAGTATTACTTCTATTCTTGTTATGAAATTTTGAACACATTGTTATATTTTTTTAAAGTAACATTCTTTGATTTTGTTTAAACTTAATAAAATTAAATTCACTATTTTGTAATCTTGAACTATTTATCGTCATACAAAATATGTAATTTTATAGTGCAAAGAATGCAAAATAATTATATATTTTTTGTATTGGAACACATAAGTTAACACTTTTTTCGAAAAAATCTTAAATATATAGTAATGTTTTGAAATAACATTTTATACTAACAATATTTAAATGTGATTTACAAACAATAAAAGGGAGAATTGGACACAAGTACATTTTTAAAATTTTTATTTTTTAATTTTGGATTTATAATTTATGATTGGTGTTTTTTTGAAATTTATTTTATCAATTTAAAGTCAATAAGGGTATATTTGCTCCTTTATAAGAATATGAGGGGTATATTTGTACCTTTAAAAAAGTTCAAGGGTATATATGCACTTTCACAAATACTTCAGGGGGATATTTCTTCCGAAAAATAGAACAAGGGTATATTTGTTCTCACACCAATACTACAGGGGTACGTATATTTGTACTTTTTCCCTAGAATAAAGTTATGCAAGCTTTTCAACGAACTCATAGACTCGTACTCGGCACATGGAATAATGAGGCAAAAATTATTGCGGCAAAGGTCAAGGTATGGTGGAAGATATGGTTACAATATGTGGTGTACAAAGTTATCTCTATTGCATGTACTTGTACCACCTAATAAATTTCTGATTATTTTGCTGATTCGTCACCTATTTTTGTGATGGTGTGCATGGTTGATTAGCAAGATGGTTTGTGAGGTGATGGCACCCTTACTTGGGATTGCCTATAGTTTTTATTTTTGTCCACTAGTGGTACGACGTGCGATCCGCGAAGGGAAGATGCCCAAAGTTATTTTGACAGGGTTAACATTATGGAATGTTAATGATTAGTATATTTGAATTGTTTGGAATTGCACGGAAACTTTGTGAATAATAATAATAATAATAATAATAATAATAATAATAATAATAATAATAATAATAATAATAATAATAATAATAATAATAATAATAATAATAATAATAATAATAATAATAATAATAATAATAATAATAATAATAATAATAATAATAATAATAATAATAAAAGTAATAAATTAAGTCTGATTTATTTCATTTGATCTGATCTGATCCGATATGATTTGATCTATATATTATGATCTAAATCTATTTGATGTGACTTGATTTGGAATTTTTTTTATCTGATCTAATTATATTTGAATTTTTATGTTTTGATCTGATTTGATATGAACAAAATAAAAATAAGCAATAAGAATAAGATGACATAACAACTCCTAACAAAGAGATATAGTCAAACCGTTGCGGCCACAAGAGCTTAGTAACGAAGGGGCAGTTCCAAAGTAATCATTTTCGCAATCCGCGCGAACAAATTACTGGGTATCGGACATTTCATTCCTAAAGGAGAATATGAAATTTTATATTCTACGTAAGATATAAGTAAACAGAGAAAAGATTTAAAATGATGAAAACATTAAATAAAAATAAAAGCAAACAAGTATACATAGAATAATAATAAAAACAATGGATAGAATGTTAAGTAGAAACTCTAAGGACATGTT